CAGAAGATGCTAATATTAGATCTAATTTGCGCTACAGATTGGGTTTCTGCGGGACTAACCTATCCTCCTACTATACTTTTGTGCCGGCGAATCCGTGTGATATATTTGTGTTAGTGTGCAGCAAGACTCTTGAATCACTTAGATTATGTCTAAAGCCGTGACTTTGCTACCTTGGTGTTACTTTACCGCCACGATTTAGAATTACAAGTGAACAACAGTAAATTCAACTCTGTTTGTTAACAGCATGAATATTGTCAACGAAACCTACTTCGTCATTAAATTTCTAATGGAAAATCAATAGAAATAGGATTTCGAAAACTTGCGTTCGCCAAATTCTTCATTTCCAACTAAAATATTTATGGATCAAGTTTTACCGTGCAAATTAAATCTGACATCGCAATGAATAATCCGTTCATACTTCTTATATATTTTGTTTAATTTGGTGGATTAAAGGTTTTGTTTAGGCTGTAGAAGGAAGCTATCGATTGGGCGATGGGGGTGGCATCGTAGGCGGATGAAACGTAGTTACATGAGAAGTCCATATCTGAATTTTTTTTTTTGTCAATTTTTATTATGTTAACAAGTTTAGTCAATGAACAATTGTTGTTGTGAAAAACGTTTTTTAATAAGTTGTTTTTATTTTTAAACAGTTATTATGCCATTAGGTTTGGTCATCGGACTCGAAGTGGACCTACTGATTGTTTTGCTAAGTTGTTGTTCTTGTTTTTTGAAAAATTGCCTTCCTGAGCAACTAATGCCCCCAATCGATTTTAAATTTCCAGTACTTGAATGGAAGCTGCTAGAAGGCTATTACTTTAAAAAGTTTAAACTAAAATCTTTTGACATCCCACTACGCACACCAATCAACCTGTTCTCCATATAAATTTCTTTATGCTACTTTGATCAAGGCCAATTGAAAGAAGGAAAAGGGGAAAACATCCATATACAGGATTGCAAAAAAAACAAGGAAACGGCAAAAAATCTGTAACATTAAATTTTTATCGGTTTCGGAAGAACAAATAGGCAAAAAATCACTAGAAGAAAATCTAGTCACAAACCAAAGACATCAAATTTTTCCAATAAAAATGGAAACTGTACCTAAAAAATCTTTCAAACTTGTTTAAATAAAAGGTTAAAAATGCCATATTACATGAATATAAAAAGGGCAATCCTTATTAGCTGCACAGTATAATACTTATAAAATTAAAAACTTGCCGAACAATTTATTGTACAAATTTGTGCGTTTGGGGGCCCTAACACAATTCCAATTATTAAAGTAAGCTTTTGAATCCCAAGATCCTTAAATGTGAATGCGTAATCTTTAAAATTTGTCCACTACAGAAAAAATGACTGTTACAGATAGCATGGCTTTGGTAAAATGAAATACAAAATAACTTTGTTTAATTTTATGTTGGATCATCAATTCATTTGAAATACGAATGGATTAAATACAAGACATATGTGATCTTTCTAAGCTGTCCATTTTGTTGAAATGGCACATTTATCATGCAAATTACTCCTGGTCCCCATCAAGCATTGCCACATAAATATAAATAAATGACGTATTGCTTTGTATGACGTCAACGCGACATCTGTTTCACCTTGTGAGCTATTTATTGATCGGTGGTCATTGATATAGCACTTCGACACTGGTGAAACCATGTGTGAAATGTATAAACCCCAGGGGACTGAGTTATTAATGCTTTTTGATTGAATACTGATTTACCAGAAATGAGAACGCACATGAAAAATGCATTAGATTAACTCGAATTTCAACGCGCAGGAATTCGGCCACACACAGGCGGACCGGACAACAGAAAAGTCAAAATTGCTTCCGATTCGACTTCCCTGCTATTCGGGTATTTGGTATATTGTTGTGCTTGTTCCGCCACTTTCTCGTTGGATAAATCTCTTTCCTTGTCGACAATGTTTTTTATCAGAAAATTTTCTCGAATTAAAATCACGCGCACTCACTAAGACGTAAAGGAGACTGATCTCTGAGAAAAGGTAATGGCTCCACTAAAATGTTGGTGCATTGGGCGTTAGTGAATACTTATTAAAGAAAGACTTGAAATGGTTCAAGTCGATAAGATAAGAGAAACAGCTATGATATAGGACAATGGTTGCTAACCGTTTTTTCAGGTGACCCAAATTTGAAAACAATTTTTTTTTAAATCTTGCGACCAATGGATTTGCTCTCATGCTTAACGAGCATGTAGTGATGATATAGGGCAGAGTCTCCCAACCCTTTTTCAGGCAACCCCAATATACTAATCAATCAGCCATGATATAGAATATAGGGAAGCCACAAAACTTATGTTCTTGGAGAAAATCATTTGGAATACGGTTTTTATTGCGTGGTGAATACACTGGCAGTAAATGGATAGCGATTGAATGATGCCAAATAATATATATAGAGACAAATATGTATATATAAATTGATATCCTGAATAGTCTACTTCTACTATTTACTCTCCCAAGTGCATGTCGATAGAAAATAAGTCAACTTGGCGCATAGCCTCATTGGTACATACTGTAGTAAACAAGAGTATTAAAATACAATGATAAATTTTTATTACTCTTCCAAATTTAAACCCAGGACAATTTTTTTGGTTTTTGACAACAGTTTTACAGACATAGGGTTGCATCGTCTGACCATCTGGCGAAAGTTATCAATCATTGTCCATTCGACAAATTTCGTTGATTGACGAGGACTGAACCCTAGAATGATCGTGCAGTTTTACATTATTATGAAACAAACGTATTTTCAATTCTTCTTGTTACGTGACAAGGAAAATAGACAGATGCATGTGTGACGCATTTTTTAAAAATTATTTAATCCCACACGACAACATGTTTTCATTATGATTTAATAATATGTGGGTTTGTAACGAAAAGTCGCTTTGTGACTCCATAATATACATTATTTGTCATAGTAAGTTACGTCTGTAACGTGAAACGAGTCTTCGCATGGTCTTAGCGTTTTTCGCCGCCTAAAGTTTGTCCACCTCTGACTCATTGTGCAAAAACTCGAAAAAAAAGTTATGAGGTGAATAAGATTTATTGTTTATCCCAGGGGAGGGGAAAAGTGAATAATCGACGACTCGATTATGTGGCGGATCACCTTATTCGTAGCGCCCACTGTCACGTGTTCAAGTCGTAATTGGGATAACTTAGCCAATCCAATTTAATTGAACGAAAGTTTACTAAACCCTGCAAATTTTGCTTTGGCGACCTTAGTCTTGGGCAAACGCGTCCAATTCGTCTGACTTGCCAAATTATGAATCCATATATCAAAGAGACGTTGTCCTCAAATTCTCTCTTATAGCTTAGGCTTAAATTTATTGTAATCAGAAAGTTTTGATTACTAGTTTCAGACTGGAAGTGAGAATAACATTTCAAACTTTTTTTTTGGAGTTCCATCTCTTTGAGAATGGTTACATATTTATAACCAGTTTACGAAAGTTCGTCTTCATTTTAACTTAGCCTGAGCCAAAGACATTTCGAGAAACTGATAAGGTAATATGTCGTTAAATCTCTCCGTTGCTTGATGTCGAGCAATCCCGAATTGGTTTTCAAATACAGGCGAATTGGTTACGAATTGGTTTTCAAATAAAAAATTCCATTCTGATTGAGAAAAAATGAATTGTCAAATAAGCGCAACCTTTTTCAAGAACCGCAGAAATTGATGTTCGTAGTGGAAGATAGAAATAGATTTCAAAATTTATTTTTGGAGTTTTCATCTCTCATTATTGTCATATATTTATTCATCTCATTACGTCTTTCAACTTGGCCTGAGCAAATGACATTTCGAAGAACTGTTTAGAACGTAATTAGTCGTTAAGTCGCACCGTGACTGAAATGAACTAGAATCGGTTGACATTGTATATGGCCTTTTGGTAAGACGATTTCTTACCACGTAAGAAAGATACAAAGGCCATAACAAATAGGTACGGTTCATCATTTTACATGCATTGCCAATTATAGCGCTTACGCTATTTTTAAATGTGACAAATACACCGACATTGAAACTGTTCCGGCATTTGCATTTAAACACGGTCATGTATTATGAACAAACGTACCAAGTCCACTACCATTGACGTGCTTAATTTCGAATGATCTAGGACTAGGCGGAAAATTTATCTCATTGACGTAGTTTCGTAAAACCTAACTAATAGGCGCACTGATTTACGTAATGGAAGTCAGAAAATTGCGATTCCCAACTAACATATATACTCTTGAGATAGCTTGCTCTATTTTTTGATAGATACAAGTTGTACTGAAAGCGTTCTTTCGGTCATTATTTAACTTCTCAAACAACAAAGTAATATAAACGAAAAAATAGGGCAACTATATTAGAAAGCTCTGAATAATACTTTATGGATGAATACTACGATATTTCACGCTTTAGCTCCGAACGAGTTTCTATACGGCAGTGGTTTTCAAACCATGAGGATCGCCCCACAAGGTGTGACTTTCATAGATAAATTTTAAAGGGGTGTGGAGCTATTTGAAAATAAAAATATTTGTTAGATTTGATCTTGCCAACTTTATTTTGGGTATTTACATATTTTAATTGTTTAGATATTGCGATTTCATTCACGTATTTTGAAAGTGTTTTTATTGAAACTATCGTCTCACTATCTGTTATTTGTACTTTACTCTTAGATAGGTATTTTTGAGGTGGGCGGAAGACTTGACAAATTCAACAGAGCGCGGGTTAAAATTGAGAACAACTGCTCTACAGTAAGCTAAATAGTCCAAGTACGGATATACGTTGTTGCGTAAGACGGGAATTTTTCCTTAGTTTACAATATTTCTTACTTCCTGGCATAGGAAGTTGGAGATCATCATATGAGTAGTCCTACTCGTATCCCTATCTTTTCTTACACGGATAAAATTTGAGAATTGTATCTTGCTTTCTCATCATTTATAAGCTATGATGCCACACTTTTATAATTTGGGGAGCAAATCCTAATAACCATCTTAATTTTTTCCAGACACGGCGAGCGGCGGAAGACTTCTTTCAACGTCAGGAGAGGACAAGGGACCAAGAATTCGAATGACCAGACCGTCGAAGTTCAGAACTAAAGCCATACTTGTTATATTCCTCGTGATTGTTGTTGTCATTGCTATAATACTGGTTGTAGCACTAACGGCTTCATCTTCGCCTACCTCAACGCGTGAGTGTTAAGTTTTGGGATATTTCTGTATTTATTGTGTCTTGTATGAAACATTAATACATAGGGTGATATTTCTCTTTATTTGATTTGAAAAACCGGAAAACTAAACACACAGACTTTACTGTATTGACATAGAACCTCTTATTTCGGGTCGAAATATTCCTTGCCTCGAAACCCTAGAGTGTAATAAATTGGGTAAGCAACCCGAAACTGCCGAAATTCAAGTTCTTTTCAAATAATACGAGCTTCTACATATCTTTAAATATCAGTGCCCTTTGATTACGGGCTTTTTCGGTCCGAAAAGTCTGAATAAGCGTATAAACATACATATAAATAAACAAATGTTTTCGGTAGTTGATTGGGTTGTAACGATACAGCCGTTGGGGTCACGTGAGTCTGTTACCATCGGGGTGAGTGGTCTCCGAATTGTGAGAATTCAATCTGAAATTTCATGAGTTGCTATAAGTTATTTACAGTCAATTTTCTAAACACACAGTGGCAACATAACGTGACGTCACCAAAATACGACGTCATCAATTCCAAACTTTTTTGAATATTTATTTTTTTTTATTTTCAAACAACTTATTCTTTCAGATCCTTTCCACGATGACGTCACTGCCACCGTCCTCACACATCATCATATACGTTGCAAGCATGACCTCATGATTGCTCAAGAAGGGGAGACAGGGAATACCCACTGGAGAAACTATGATTCCAGCACCCACGTTTGGAAATCCATACCAAACGTCAAGCACACCGGTTTTGTGATAATATCACCAAAGTACGAATTGCAGCCGGGGTATCCAGGCATTCAAGTATCAATGCTTCTGCCTCACAATAGCAGTGAACTATACATCATGGCGGTGACATCATCATTACGTCATAGCAAGGTTGTAAAAATGATACCGGGGTCGAGCCGATGCAACAGCGTAATACTCGAAGACAACGAGTTTTTTGATGGAAACGGGACTACTTTCAGAGTTTACATATTTTATCGACGTCACGTGATACTGAGGGGAGCAAAATTTACAGTGACGTCACTTCCTCTCGCTGTTAAATTCCGAAGTTTCCAATTAGAGGCAGAGGAAACGATTAATCCGAAGTTTGTTCACGTCAAACCGGGTGATCACGATAAATGTTCGGTGGAAATTGACAACGGTAAAGTTCAGTGTAACTGGTTAAACATCGAAGACGGAGATAACGCGAACTTCGAAGCTGTTAGTAGGTAAGAATCCTTATAGTCTCTCTTTCTTTATAAACGTTCGGTAGTGTGTATCGTAACTGACCAGCGGTTACGTGAGTCGTTTAGCAATTCTCTCGTATGTAACCCCCACGAGCTTCAAACTTGCGAATCCGCGCAGAACTAAACCGAGGTGCCGCCGAGCCACTGGCTGAGATAGATCATTAGATTTTGGGGTAAACACCTTGTTCCACAGGTCCCTTATGTATTTGTATTTATAAATTATTCTGTATTGGTAAATATTGCGGAGTATTAGCGCCGCATGGTGAATAAATCGAAAACTGAGTTTAACTAATGCCAATTTCGATTTTACAAGAGTGGTCACTCAAAACTGAGCGAAGTAGTTGGACCCACTTCAATAATATACCTAAAGGAGCCGATAAGACGGCTTAATGAAAGTTGAATCCCGTTTGCGATCAGATAGAGATCTAGCTATAGCTAGTCATTTCGGATGCGTAGACGGAATGGTGAAGGTAGCCGTCACCAGCGGGGACGTGTACTACGAACCGATAATTGAACGAGAGTCCGGCAATCACTTGGCAAAAGAAGACCACTTTTCAAAAGATTCCAACCAGCGAAACTTTTCTTTTTATTTAGTCACAGTTGTATCAGCAGCGGTGTTCAATCAACCGAATCAGCCACGTGGTTCTTTTCTCTGACGTCAAAGAATACTCATCACGAATACAGAGCTTTGATAGTATCACCTGTGATCGAACGTTCATCCAAGACTCCTTCAATTTTACTGACGTTGTGGTAAGCAAGTAGGCGCGCGTATATCTCTTTCCTAATGATATACCCGGCATTCTCAGCGTCTTCGTACACGCAATGAATCAAATTGCCTTTATTAGTGAGATGAAAATAGCGCTGTTAGTAATAATTCCCATTTACCTTACTAATACACCAACATTAACTTACTAATTGAAAGGAATCCATGGCGTTTCACCAATTTCTATATAAAACGTGTTGACTTATGTAAATGTTTCAACAAAACCAATCTAGCTTATGTCATAAACAGACTCTTTGATCTTCGTCGTTATGGACCAAGGCCCATCTTTTGGCCTCACTTTCGAAGTTTTATTTTTTATTTTAGGCGATGCCTTATGTCCATTTTGTATTTAATTGTTAGAGCCAAACTCTTAAAAAATCAATCAAAACGTGACATAGGATAAATTGGTTTTATAGCGGTGAACTGTTTCATTGGACAACCGCTTATACGTTGAAGCTACCTAATATCCAATCAAGATTGACGTATAGGCGTCAAGTTCAAAGAAAGATAACGGAGTCACCAGATTGATTGAGTAGTAATTAGAAATCACGGGACAGTAAAGAGCAACCTATCTAGAATCTTGCAAGGCCATTTCATCAAATAATTCCAGGAATATCCAAACTTGAAACACTTCCTATGCTATTCAAAAGTCTTGCTGCACACTAACACAAATGTATTTCTGTAACGTTTCGTCTGACCGAAATCAGACTTCCTCAGACAAACAGTTTACAACAATGACCAATGGTAAATTTTGGGAATACATTTGTATTAGTGTGCAGTGCAGCAGGACTCTTGAATTGCATAGAATGCTACAACATCCTTGCATTATACGCATACGGATCCAATAGCCGACTAGCGCAAAGGCATTGAGGAAGGATTGGGAGTTAGTCTCGCGCAACCTTCTACTGGGAGTTGAAACAATTTGTTCTCTTTTCCAGGTATATATTTAAATGCGAAGACACCCACATCAAAATTCATCTCGTTCCGCTAACAAAAACACATCGAAACCTGATTGGGACTTCGTCAGTGGTTGCCGAAATCACCGACCCAGCGAATCACAATGACTGGAAATTTACGTCCTTTCAAATATTATTACCAGAAGACCACGAGCAGTACCAGGTAATATATATATATATATTAGAAATGGGTAGTGAGTGGAGTCAAACAAAAATATTATTATACCTGACAAACCGGAAGAGTGAAACGATAAGTTATTTTCCGTAAACAGACATAAAGTAAAATACTTGAAAGCGTCTATGAGTGCACATTGTGTATATGTAAAAATGTAACAAAGTTAAACACCTTTAGTGATATTTATATCATTGGATAATATAAATACCTACAGCCAAAGAACTTAATACAAATAAAAATTCGCCTGATTTGAGGAATGTGATGCACATATTTACCTCACAGGGGAGAAAAGTCGATAAGAAGCATGGCCTCTTGTCTTGTGGCTAATAACCTACACCTAACTTGGAACTAAGAATACATATAAGAGCATTTCCTACCTATTGTCAAGAGTAAGCACGGTAAACACGAGTACTAAAACTGCTTTTACAGATTGTACTAGAAGGAATAGTAATGTCAGAAGGGAATTGCACAGAGTACGTTTGCACTTCAGATGGGTATCAGTATGGAAGGTTGCGACAACCAAAAGTGCCGATGATTGGCCTCGACGCGATCACCGTTGAACTGATGCATGAACAATGCGAGGCGACAAGTGAGTTCATAAATACCGATACCATCGGATGGTGGTTATTGCGGTGGTCGCGATGACTCAGTGATTAGTGTTGGGCCTAACTGTGCCGGCGTCAAAGATGTCAGGTCAAAGTCCAGAGGTGGGCAACCACTTTTATGTGGGCCAGTTGCATAAAATAGACTTGGTTACTGGAACGGAGGCTCAAAAATCAATTTGAAAAACAATAATAAAAAACAATTCATTTACAACAGCTAGGCTAACTTTTATTATATAATGATAAGGAGCGCAATGTAACAATTGGGGTCATTATGACGTTATTTCCATCGATATTTTGAACGGGAATTTATATGCACAAAAAGTATAGCCGTAATTCCAGCAGACACGAACGGCCGTAATTTGCCCACCCCTGGGTTAAATTCAATCTCACAAGAGGTGCAATAAAATGCGTAGACATGCGCTACACGAAAACGTTCGGTGCTTTTTAAAGCAGTACCAGCCTTGCTCGGAGTAGGGATTAGGTACAACAACACCGATATATCGGATATATATAATTTTATGTTAAATAGTGTTCCTTTACAAGGCCAGATGTGATTCCCAGTAAGTAAAATATACGTTGGTTGGTAAAGGCGTTGATTATGTTTTATGCAAAATTTCAGGCAAACCGAACGTGATGGACTGCAAATTCCAGACAGAAGGCGACACAGGAACACTATGTGAATGGGAATCGAGTCTTCCGGAAATGTATAGGGGAATCCCCGGGATCTTTGAGGCCAACTTCTGGCAGGATTGGAAAGCGGTTAACAGTGGTAAGGACTAAAAGTGACTAAATTAAAACCAGAGCGGTGGAGTCAGATTTTTTAATGTTTTCATATTTGAGTCATAATTTTAGCTTCCGCGAGACGGGACGGGGTTTTAGAAATAATTTATTAGAATAGTTGTGCTTGAAAATTTAACAATTTGAGCAATTGAAGATAATCAAAAAGACGTTCTTATTTTCTGAAAACTGTAATGAAGAGAAAACTAACAAATCTAACATATTCACATGTCTTTTTACTATGCTGAGTATAACCCATTTTGAAACATAATCGATGTTTCATATTTGAAATTACAATGTATCCGGAAGGGTGGATTATTCGTTTTGGTGCATCCTTGTTCCTATATGGTAATATTTATAGGTGAAGAAGACGACCACGGCGCCACCAGTCAACATTTCGTAGGCCGAGGTCACATTATGTCATTTGACGCATCGGGAAGATCGAAGTCACAAAGTTACGTTAGAACTCCACTACTGAAGGCCAGTAAAAATTGCTCCTGTGTGATGTCCTTCATGTATCTTATGAGAGGAATCCTGGTAAGTTATCGAGTTTTCCCTTGGGGCGGATGAATCTCAGCCCTGTTTAACTTCGCAAAAATAATAAAGAAATCGTTTTCAATATACCATTTTAACATCATATACTTATTTACTTTAACGATCTGCCAAGTTCTATTGCCTGTATTGGGTAGGGTTGACTATATGCCGAACCGAAGTTCGATCTCATCGAACAAACGAATCTAAGCCAAATAAACTACCTGTTCGAGGCTCATATAGCTGCAAAATTCAAATTATAATAATTTCAACAAAACTCAAAATTTGAGGTATTTATTGCTGAACACGCGGGATAAATCCAACTGTAAACATGTTCCTTTTACCACAGAATTTTCAGCTAGCTATGCTTACACTTTGGTGCATGATTCTTTATGTTTAGACGCCGCGCATGCAAGTCAATTTAATCTTCGGTTCTGATGTAAATGATAACACCCGGTCTCTAGAACCTCAGTGGTCCCTTCTAGGACATCAAAGTGAACACTGGGAAACTGCCGTCGTCTCGATAAATCTCCGGAAAGACTTGCCTTTTCAGATTGAATTAAGGTTTGTAACTCTTATTAGTATTTCAATGTTTATACATTACCTTATACTAGGGGTAGGCAAATTACGAACCGTGGCCCGGATCCACCCCATCGAAGTGTTTCATCTGGCCCCTTTTTATACAAATTATGACTATACTTTTTATGGATATAAACTTGCGTTGAAGATATCTATGAAAATAACGAATCGCCGGCTAAAATATAGAACGTAATTTCCGTTGTATAATCTGCGCCTGCATACAATGTGTTCCTTGTTACATATAATTGTGGTGGACTATAAGCTGTTTATTCTACATTAGCTGTTACGCTAGTTATTGGTAAATAAACTGATTTTTATTAATAGTTTCATATTGAGCATCCGGCCCAGTGAGCAAGTCTATTATCTGTAACAGGCCCCACTCAAAAAAGAAATTTCCCACATTAGTATTGGGCAATCTGTTTGTAATTTTTGCCTGATTTATTGTTGCAGTTTCTTTTAGTTACGAGGTATATACAGAAAATCGTATGACCTTCCAATTTTGTTAGCTCTATTGAGCAGACCCCTTTCTGTGAAATATCCAATTAGACTATACTAAATTCGAACCTAACAATATTTCAGAGTTCTGGATGTTTTTGACGGAAGAGGAGACGTTCATTTTGACGATATGTACTTTACTGGCTGTGGTGAGTTTAAGTTCTACCGTTCCTATATACCAATAAACCAAGATTATTCGAAAGTTTCAATAGATTATTAATGTTACAAGAGAGCAATGCTTGAATAGGCGCACCAGAAGTGTGTGCATCAATATGGAGGTAACTGATTTGTTCGCCTACTTTACATCAAGTTGTGTAAAAGGACTAAGACCTGTGGGTAGGGGGGATATTCACTTGGCTAACACAAACAGTGCCCGAACTCGTAACAGAACTAAATTAAGGAAAATCGAAATATAATTATGGCCTAGCCCTTGGTACACATACTACGGGAGTACCCCTAAATATATGAACGCGACGTTCAAATCATCAACGGCAGCCTAGCAGTAGCCTATGCGACTTACACTGGATTAGTAGGAACGATGGGAGAATTATCTGACGAACTGCCACATGATGGGGTAACATGCATAGCAATCGCTTAATTTATGATAAAATATCGAGCCCTAAATATCTCATTATCTATTTCTCAACAATATATTAAACAGCCTTATAGCGACCTATTCCATCTTCAGCTACTGAGAAAGCTTTTTCCACTTTCTAGTACTGGAAATTTGAAATCACGCGAGAACCCCTAAAAATGCATTTTAAACTTACAGCTCAGTCCCAGCTTAACTACAGTTTTATTAGAATCACATTTCAGATGAAATAATAAACAAATTCTTTTGTTACAGATATGGACAAATACGATTCTACATCAGAATAGTAACAACTGCAGAAAGTTACAACTAACATTCAGAATCAAGACAAAACAATCTAACATTTTTGCACAAACTATATAGCCCAATACGATCGCAAATCGCAGAAAATACAGTTTCAGTAAGGTCAAGTGTGTAATGCGCCGACAAACAACGACCTATACACGACCAATGCCCACAATAGTTCTATTTTAATCAGCCTTTCATATACGAAGTAGTGGTCTGAGTCCGGATCAACCAGAACGGATATATAAATTAGCCCATTCGATAATTCCACTTCTATTTGGGAAACAATGACAATACAAACACTTACGTTATAGTCAAAAAAGTCGGATTCAGTTTGCAAACTGATTTCGGCCTCCACAAATGGACGCTCGACAACATTTGATGTGCATCGCATAGGCCTGGAATACTTTCTCTTCCTACTTTTATTTTATTTCTATTGTTCTTGACTTTGTTCCATCATAGTCAAATATTATTATCGATTATGTTTGAGTATACGTGGCCGAAAACTGTAATAATTCATCCAAACGTTTGTGACTTCGATATTATGTTCTGAGGAATTTCTGAAATACCCAGGCTCAACTACCCACTCCGAGGCAAATAATGGGAAAACGATACCTCTATTGTGAGCCGACTTATTTGTAACATATTTTGTACTGTTAAATGTGATTCGGTCGTAGGAACAGTAGCCACATGAAATCTGTGAAACAATGTGCAAATTGTACAGTATCAACTAATGGCAAACTGATACTTTCCATGACGCGCAACAAGTCATTCTCTAACCACGTCCATAAATGATCCACCATGAATCGATAATGATATTTGTCTGCTTTCCAATCGCGCCTTTATGTTCCTAGTGTTTCGATTTTTTTATCATTTTTCTGATACCCAATGGGTATTTATTCCTGATTCCGTTCGGAAATGAGATTTCTTCAAAGAGTTTTTATTAATTGATTAATTAAATTCTAGAGATGATATAGACGCAAATTCTTCAGCACTTCATTGACTTCAAGACTCTGCTGCACTAGCAGAAGTAGCCCATGATGACCCAATATAATAGCTAGGATCTTTCTTTATCAATTTTCAACCGCGTCTCACTTTTAAATTTTCTTTTCATATTTTTTACTGATTTTGTTATTTTATAATTTTCAACATCTGACGCATTATTCAGTTGCTCATGCGCGCTGCTTTTACTATTTTGTTTGAATTATTTCGTAAATTGTTCCCTCTCAACAAGACTTTACAATCGCGGTTGGTTATATATTGGGATGAGCCGCCGTGCTGCCACAAGGCATATTTTTCGTATCAAATTTTAGCCTGTCGAGTCCTTGAATTTAGCTTACATGGGAATGGATAATGTGTTTTGAGTTTAAAAGTTATTGATTAAAAATTGCTTGCCACTCTCCTATCTATACTATTTCCAATTTTGGGTATGATATAGCGCCTTTGCTTTGCCCAAACTCGAATAAAAATGTATCTAGGCATTGACAGCAGTTATTAATAAGTAATTCCAAAAATAAAATAAAATAACAGTGACTCGACTTTAAGAACAAGTACTCTAGCGTATTTCACAATGCCAGTAACTTTGGATTATAAAAATCTCCCCTCCCTAAATAAAAAATCTATTTCTGTAAAAATATTGTTCATGATAAATTGCTGATTGGTCCAAGTACATGTACGGATCATGACAATGTATATTCAATATTACCCAATAAATACCTCAGATTTATATTTTATTTCTGTTTTTTTCGCATTCTTATTTTCTTCAATTTTTGTTACTTTGAATGACAGTGCCCATTTATATATAAAGTACGTGCGGTTGTGGGTGGACAGAATATATGCCAGAATACTCGGCAGCGTTTTCCATGTCCAAATATTCCTTGTTTTCAATTCACATTATATCAAGGTGTGTTTCATGTGTCGTTACATAATTGTTGGTACTGCACAATACCAGTTAATACTGTTCTGATAAACACGTGAATGCAAGTTATTTTTTCATATTTCATTAGCATGACAAAAGTTCCATTTCATTTTTCAATCACAATAAGAAATTTTTCATCGGGCCGTATTTGTCCACATATGACATAATATACATTGGTTGTATTTGTAACTATAATTTCCCGAGTATGACGGTATACATTTGTGTATATATACCGTCTTATTTGTACAAAATAATTTTGGAAACGTATCTCATTGTCATCACTGCCATTTACAAATCTATTGTAAATAAATCTCCCTCAAACGTGTTTGTTTATTTTATATATTGACCGCTGAGAAACATTTCCTGTTACTTAAAAACATTTAAAATATATGCGCAATAAGAGGTGCCTAACTTTACAACCACAGAAGTGCATCGTCTATCTATAGATTTTTTTCTATACAACGTCACACACTTTCGACGGGAATCAGTATATAGGTAAGCAGCCAACGAGCTGTTAGTTAGTACATATGCAGGTATGCGTTGAATAAAGTGGTTCCCAGTTCGGCATATATCCTACTCATTACACCCAAGAGGAGGTGTTTGGCACCGAATTTCGACATAGCTAAGTTTAGCAATAATCAAAAAGCTATTCCGCATCCAACTGACTATACATGTCTTCTCAAATTCTTACTTTACCAATCACCTACATGCTTCGCTTAGGATTTTTTACGAGGCGCCTTCACCACGAGCCAGACACTAGGCGATCAGTCTACTGATGTGTAGGAAGTTACTACGTACGCCTTGGATAGTCCATTGACTTCCCGATTAAGCCTACTCATAGTTATTACATCATGTTGGGGTCATAGTCGTGAAGATCCTAGATCCCTATCCAGCGACACCAACGGCGCTCCAGGAGTATGTGTATGATGGCGGACACTGAAACGTCGTATGTGTATCAGGTTAGGGTTAGGCCATAATTTTAGGTACAAATACTACGGGAGTCACTTGGATAGTCACCGAATTCGTAATAGAATTAAAATAAGGAAAATTGAAATAAAATTATGGCCTAACCCTAACCTGGTACACATACGAAGTGTACGATTGTCCACCACACCAACATTGCTAAGACCAGTGCTAACCAAAAAGCGATTCCACTTCATTAAAATCGGTCAGTCATATTTGCACCTGAGCAGTGCCGGTAAACAAGCTTTGGGTAGGACACTTCCAAACAAAGCTCTAAGCAACTCTTGGGTTTGTGTTTGAGACGAACAGAGCAAGCTATTTCGAAAAAATAAGATCGTCGCTATTCAGACATTTGTCTTAGAAGTCGGATTTTAATTTTCGAATCCGCGAAAAGTAGTCAGTCCATTCCTTCTTATAGTTTATCACGATATATCTGTAATGAGCGTACATATAGGAACAACCCTAAAAATATTCTGCTCAATTGGGATTTAGTGTATTACAGCTCTTCACTGCAAGTGTCAATGCTCCTGGACCAGCGCTGACAACCATCTTGTTAAGTTAACTGCAATTTTAAAGTAGACTAGACCTCACATGCAGTACGATACCGTGGTATTAAATACATTTTAGAAAGTACCTCATTTAAAATTGAAAAAATAATCCACTCACCACAGACTTCGACGACGGTTGTTAGAAGCTCAAACATTCACTAAATTCAAATAACGATTATTATCATTAAATAACTGTAAACAACGAACAAACGCGGGTTAAAAGTCTGTTCCAAACTGCGAGAACGAAAATACGGCATCGTCCCGATAGTTTGGTAGGATTAGCTAAGCCTGTTCTGGACCAGTCACTTTTGGTAGTATTTCGAGTCATTTACCACCGAGGCAATGCTGGTGAGGATAACCTCGCGTATTCTACAGTTCCAACGTGCAATCACATCTGGCAAACTCAAAACAAACCCCAACCCTGGCTACCTTAGTCCCCGTTGCCAGATATTACGCACAACCCAACCTTCAAAAATAAGAGGTTTCGGTCTGTTGTTGTCCGCTCTGCAGCTTTCTTTTACTATATCACAGTTTAAGTTTTGAATGAATTAAGTTAACAAAAAGAACAAAGGTGGGCCAATGTCTTAAACCAAAAATTATCGAGAAAAATTTGTGGTGAGGAAATAACGGGATCGTAAAATGTAACTATGAATTGGTAACTTTAGACATTCTTACGTCACAATCACAACAACGAATTGTATTCAGTAGAGCGAAAAATATGCAGATTTAAAATGAACAATGCAATGGAATACGAAATCATTAATAGATGTGTTAAGTTCATAGTTGTTATTCAGTCACAATTCATACTATAGTTGTTCTAAATTTAAAGAAGAAAGTTAACGATGATGTGATGTTATACTAAATAGAATCAGATTCGGAAATATTCGAATCGGAACAGTCTGATTCGAAAATAATATTCGAAACGCACAGTTCGACAATTAGATTAACGTAATGAAGTAATAGATCTGATAAATACAAACGGCCACATTTTTAATAATTGAAAATAAAAGACAACTCCGCAAATTAAGCCCTAGTGTTATTTTTCTAGAGGAAATTGAAATGAGGTATTGTCTTTTGTGGAGGAACACGATAGGAGGAGTTTGGTTGCCAATCCTTGTCGACTGTAGGAATAGTCAGCCATTGATTCATATACATGGACTTTATAGTGGAGGAGGCCGTCACCGAAGTCTAGAAATCCTCTCCCTCTGGAAAATGTGCCTGTGCTTTATTCTGATGCAACTCTTTTTCTTCTCATATTATTGACCTTCTTTAAATGGAACAAATCAGATTAACGTTAAATGGGCTAATATGGTAGTACACATAACAGCTGGTCGTTTACGGTTTCCTCCACCAACAAGTCCTTGCATCTGAAACAAATAACTGGCTAACTAATCTCGGCTCGGCGGTGAGGCGCATCTTGCTGAGCGTTGGGAATACGCTCGCCACCGCACCTTTAATTGCCCTGGGTAGGTTCGCAGGTTTGAATCCCGTGGGGGATAATTATTTGCGAGAGGATTGCTGAACTTCTCGCCGCTACAGGGTGGTTCACGTAATCGATGGTCGGTCATGGCTTCCTCTACCATCCTATCCATGCATCTGAAAACGAATACCTGACTAACTAATTTTATACCCCACATGGACTGGTAAGCGGTAGTGGTTCATCATATTATTAAGCCGTGTAGTTGACTTTCCTCTCCCCGGGATAAATATGTAGCATAAATTCTAATCTTATACTCACTTCCTTACTCGATCTCTATCTTTCTCCCAATTTTTGTGATTGCTGTGCTAGAGGCGCTAACGAGAAAATTATCCCTGCGTATAACAGACGCTAGGACGCTTCAAACTGGCGGGTGCCACACGTCTTGAGGATTTGGTCGTCTCGTCTCCGATATATCGTTTGCCATTAGAATTCATTTGGTAAAAGATATCTTTCGACCGTATGGAGTTCATTTTGTATACCGGTAGTCAATGATAGACACGGCACATGTGGCACTGATAAACAATCTAGCAGTACCGGTACCGCATGCTGTTACATGTTGCTATTACTTATTACAGTTTTAGATGCTTTTTTTTCTGTAAGAAGATAATTTGAATACTGCCAGACTGTAGTTGACTCACAGTTAGTAGGGGAATCTATTGATATTTCAGATCCATTATGTCACATTACACCCAACACCAGAACACCTCTGTTTACTCCCGTTTTTGCCCTACTAGGAAACAATTATTTTGCCTGAATGCCCTCGACCACATCTTAAAATAGGAGCTTCATATGCTGTTTAATTGATATTTTATCGTGGCTTTTGAATATGCCTAATACATTGCAAGAAAGTTTGTTAATCTTAACCCTGAAGAGTGAAGACGTTACTAAATCGTATGAGATGTAAATATTGAAATACATCTATATTTCAGTATTTATATGGGATAAAATTTTCATATCTATCAGAGAGGCAAATACAATGAGACGGCTTATTCATATGATGAACCAAGCTCTCTCAACCTGTTTCCCTTCAATATCAGGTATGGGAATAGTTAACCAATTATTTGCTTCAGATGTATAGACAAGATGTCTGATAGTGGAGGAAGCCATAACTGATCAGTGATTATGTGAACTATCTTGAATAATTGGTTATGGTTATACGAGTAGTCTTGTGGCTTTGTTTTTGGTAATATAGTAATATGACATATTAATGGACCTTCAGTTTTATAGCTGTCGTCTAATTAATATTACCTGCTTAATTTTTCACTAAACTATCAATAGTTTTTTTTATTCCAATAAACTCTAAATACCAGCTTTCTTGAAACTAGGCCCTTTGAAAGGCATTCTTAGATAAGAATACATGTAGTCATACTTATTATATGTTAAAAAAAACTTAATTTTTTTACACATCATGGTGTAAGGTTGCAAGCTTACGTATTTGCATTTTATAGCTCAAAAGCTTTTCGTATGTGGCTTCTGGTACTCATACTGTCATAGACAATGGTGATGTAAATCAGCTTCTTTATAGGCGTATCTCTGACAGTGGTGTTACTTATTGATCTCGGTCGGTAAGTATGTTGATAGGTATTTGTCTGTCTGTCTGTTAGACACTTTTGTATGTTACATGATATCTCACGAAAGCGAGGTTGAATCTGCTCCAAATTTTGCATGTGCATTCATCATATCTCGGACCAGAAGCCTATTGATTTTGGATGAATTATGTCGTATAATTAGAGAGTTATTAATTAATTAGTTATGGGACACGCGGTGTCGTTCTTGAGTCAGAGAGAAGGATACACGCCGCTAGATCGCTAAGTTGGCAGTCTCCGATTGCTATCTCGTGCAATGATTAAGTAGTAAACTATTATTTCCATCATAGGAATGATCTATGAACAGCGCTCAGTGTGGGAATGGTTCCTTATGACTCTTCCATCAGTTGTGTTGAAGCTGATGATGTAACCTTGCCATGGACATAATTCACTTGAAAAGTGTCTTTCGGTGTCTCCAAGATAGTCACAGTTGGGAATTTCATAGGATATTTAAATTTGCATTTACCGTAAGTGCCAAGCCTTATAGATGATATGCTATTAGCTAAGAATATTACGTATATAGTATAATATTTTATATAAGAACTTGGTGGCATATTTGTGTATTATTCTTTGTTAAGAATGGAGTAGGACTGAATATGGTTCCATATTTAATCGAGATAGGTGAAAGCAAAAAGATGACATCGAAAATATAGCAGTTTCTTGTTCAATTACCATTCCAGGTCAGCACCTTTTTGCCTGCCAGTGCAATTTGTCTCATGTCTATGGAAGCTGTAACCTGTCCCCCTTGGCAACAGCAAATAGCCTAGCAATTCTCTTGCAACTAAACCTTTTTGTGGGATTTCGACTCATCCAGGATAGTCAGCAGTGCAAAAGTGTTCATCTCCTGATACTTAGCTACCACGAAGTCTCACAGACGATGATAAAGAGAAACAAAATACAATAAAGAAATAAGCCGCTTAAGTTGAATACATTATTCATACGATCATTACCTCAGTTTTGTATAATTGCCGTCAAACGTTGAGGTAATACAAAGATCAGAAGTTTATTATATTGGATATATCAAGTGTATACGAATATTTATTTAGTTCAATTTGTATCATGGTTAATGGATATAAAATGGCAATTCTCTTATTGCCCCATTCTAGTTTTCCAATCTGTTTCTTTGACTCTGTTTATATCAGATTAAGGTACTACCTTGTTAAAGACTAAATTCCTGTTATGTTTATTTAATTCTTTTGGTTAGGTAGTTAAAATATAACGACATAACATAACACTTTTGTTACTATCATGTTATTTCCCCTGAACGTACCTAAGAAAGCAAAGGTAGGGCAATATCATGACAGTATCCCCAGCATTGTTGCTGCGTCAGGAATGCATTTGAAATGGTAAGGCAATTGGGTCTGTGCCCCCTTCAATGTTTGATGGTTTTTGGCGTCCCAGGTTCGGGATAGTGTCGTGCATGTATTTTATACTAATCTTTCCTATTGAGTTTCCTTATATATATGATGTTTGATGTGCGTTTCACTCTGAGCATGGCTTTGTGCAAGCATACACTGTTATTGAAAGAGCTGCCAGAGTTAGTAATAGCTGTAATTTTTTCATTTAGCATGTCCTATACCCTTAGTGAGATGATAGACATGGGGATCAAACTTGGGATTTTAAACCTTAGATGTCGCCATAGTGGGTCCAATTCTTAAACCATTCATCCCCTGTTGAGCTAATCCCAGTCCTCGAAGTTAGCATGCATTCCAAAATATGAATTGTCACCTTGAACAGTTATCCAACATTGTAAAGCTCAATTTGCTTTTACCACCATTGACCGCCATTTATGTCATAGAGATTAAACTTTATGTTATACTCAGCATTCCAGTAATTGCCAACAACAGTGCTGATATTTTTGCAACTTAGTTATACAATTATAATATGATAAGATTATGATGCTAATTGCCTGAAGCAAAGTTTGTGGCATTTATTTGGTTAATTTGCATTTATTTTTACGTCAATGATGAACTTACTATCTGTTTTATTATCTGCAGACAATTTGTTGATGATTGTGGTTTATCTTTGTAAATGTTTAAAAAGAGTTGCACAACATGCAAAAATAGATTAGATTAGTAAGGCGGGTGCTCAAGGTCGTCCAGTGAATGCTTATTATATAATTGCAGTTTTGCTTGAATTTTAAATTTTTTGTGGTGAGACTCAGTGATGCAGTATTCTTGGGGGATGTTCGTAACAGGGTTATGGAGCTGTGTCCTGAAATTCTTATTTAGAATGACTACAATGTCCAGATTTTATAATCTGCCTCTTTTATTAATAGTATAGTACTTGCACTTAATTTTCACATAGCGAGGGCTTATTATGTCCCTTTAACTGGTTCTTTGGAACTGTAGTTTCAGAATAGTTTTAAACTTTTTTCTTGCACTGATCAATTGGAATGGTCTCATTATTAAGATGCTATATTTTTGTATAGGAATCTGGTCTCCATGGGCGACCATCGAAATGCTAAAAGCGAGTTATGTAATCAAGAGTTTTTTCTTCAGCTCATATTTTCCAGATGTGATTAAAAACCGTGGAATGAAAATTTTTGCATTCTTTTGTTACAAATGTTGGATGGCTTTGATTTTATTCCTATTATTTTCTTGTTTTATGATTGGGGCGCTTACAATGACTCACAGTCATAGGGGTACCAAATTTATTAATCAAAATCATACTTATTATTTGGCACTAAAATTATACGGAATAATTCTAGACTACCCTTCTGCTGTGAGGAACCCCAAAAATGACTAATACTTTATGCATTCTTCGGCTGCATTTGTTTCGCCTGGAGCAATTTAGTTCAAATTATTATGGAATTAAAAAAAAAGTTGTTTTACGACATTGTAACTAAACCTCCATGCACTCAGTTCAACTCCAGAATAAGAGTACCCGGAATTTGGTTAAAATTTTATGAAAAGAAAAGTAACAATAAATATTCACATTTATTTTATGTTATCTAAAAAGGACAATTATCCACAGAAAATTAAGAAAGACTTATTTATATGTTGTACCACTTCTTTTTTCGTTGACTACCAGTTTGGTTGGGTATGGGAATAGCTAGCCAAGGTAAATGATAGAGATGCACGGGCTCTCGGGCACTTCATTACCTGACCAAATAGATTCTGAAACTTCTCTGTAACAGAGAATTACCCAATCAGTAGTGTTTATATGACTTTGATGTTGATCCCCGCATCGAATAGTGATATGTTTAACATTTTCTGCAATTCATATAAGTTCTAGAGCGTCGTAAATCAGTAGTTTAAACTCGATTATTTGAACATTGTAAACTCAGTCAACTTATACTTCCAAACAGCAACTTGCCGTTTGACTTTGCAATTTACTTCTGTACCGGTTTGGCGCAACGTGTTAGGTGTTAGTAAACATGCATACCGTCACGTCGCCGATTACCTGCGTGGGAATAATTATGCGCGAGAGTATTTCTGGACTGCTCGCAATCGCAGGGTGGTTTACGTACGTGCTGGTCGATTGCCACCACTAAAGTCCAGTCATATGGGGCATTTAAGTAGTTATTTATCCCCACATCTTGTATGTAGGCCTACAGGATAAATATAAAAGTGTTTTAATCTATTAATTATGGGTAGGTATGTGCACCGTAAGGCGATCAGATACTCGGCCAAGTATACCGACATCTAGCTTGTTATTTGCTGTGCATTTAAATACTAATAAATTTTGGTCATTTTTTTTACTTTTTTAGCTACATAAAGAAAGCTGCAATCGTAGTTACGCGGGGATAAATGTTGTTTTTGTTTGAATTAATTTGTCGTTAAAGAGTCCGCTAGTTCGGTCATGCGGAAAAGTATGCGACAAAGTCAAAATTTTTGAGCGATAATGCGCAAAACGGAGAGTTTTTGACGATTTTTTGACAATGGAGTTGGTCGGTTTCTCGCTTGATGGATCCGAGCCCCCGTCTGGGAATTTCATGTCGATATTTAACCGCTCGTCGAACGACACTCTGACGCACGTTATCCCCAACTCCTACGCAATATGTTCGTAATAATCACTTTGTGTTGGAGATGAGACTATCTACCGTTGTCAATGGAAACCGCTGAAATTCTTTTTCACCCACGCTTTCCTATATTTAAATGTATTTTTACTCTTGTTTATGTTGGTCTAGTCCTTTGCGTGGAAATATTCTTTTACCAATTGATTTGATAAATAATGAGGGTAATTTGAATCGTACGAAAATAGTATGTATTTTGTAGTATATGGATGTAAAACTTTGGGCTAATCCTCCAATGTCTTATTATTTTGTGCATAAGACTGAACGGATAATTGAAGTTTATTATTGGATACCCTGATCTAATTCATTCACGATAATTTTTATCCCTGTATTTTTTGTATCCTGATCCGCGAAATTGATCACTTTGAGTCGTTCGAAATGGTGACATAAACTCAATGCCATGAATGTCAAGACTGAAGAACAATTGGATCAAACTAGCTACCGGTACTGATTATTTAATCCTTAATAATCCTTCACGTTGACATAATTTGACTTCACTAACTTCTCATGCATTGTGATGACAAGTCTTTTCCAAGAACTTCCGCTGTAACGGACATCCTCATCCTGACTGTTTCTCCGAATGTTCCGACTGGCGTCTGTTGCAAAGTTTTTTCGAAGCTGTTTCCGCTGAACTTCCTGCCGCTGCAATAAAATTATATGGGCTCAAAAGTTGCATGCAACAAATAAAACCATCCAAATTTATTTAGACGACGGGTTGAAAACTTTGATAAACCCTTAATTAAAATAAGGTTGATGTAGTGGAAACAAAAAACAATAATTTGGGAAATCAAACTTCTTTTAATTAACTTATTTTCGATTTATACTGATTCCATACCGATACGAAAACTGCGTTTGGCATTGGAATTTGTTTGGCAAAAAAGCTTCGTCATAAACGTAAATCGTAAATCAACTACTATTACTTTTTTCGCCGTGTTGGTGAACACAAGCTTAGATATTCCAGTGTCTTGCACCACACTTTTGCAAATAAAACTCCGCCGCGATTCGTCCACCACATGTCTACGATGTACAAATAACAAAGATCGTTTAAATATGATACGTTTTTAATAAAATGTTAGAAATGATAATAGATATTCGTAACCGCACAAGAGAACATGGTTTGCCATGACCTTCTTATCGACTTACCTTTCCCTATCGTCCTATACTACATATTCCTATAATATTGAAAACATTTATGTAATAGTTCGCTCGCAAATGTGAAGAGTGTTCTTTTGTATATATGACGACGTAAGTACCCAGTGAGTAAGTTCCGTGGTTCAGTATTGCCTACCCAATTTATTACACCCTTGGTGAGGTGTTGGCATGGATTTGAATCCAAAATTTGAACCTGCGATGCCATGATAGTTAAATCTAACGCTATGACCACTGGTCGCTATTACCATATAAAAATACGTTTTCAAATATTTCCAATTGTCACACCACATTGTATTCGTTTAACACAGCCTGGTGTAAAGGGTTAGCATACATAACATAACGTCGCTCAGCGGAGCGATTTAGTAAATCTACCCAAACTCAGACAACGTATTATAGGCTTCATTAGGTCATTTGACACCTTCATTCCTCGCATTACGAACGTAAATTCCTTTCGATGACTGCTCCCCATCGAAAGATTGAGTTTCTTACTAAGGTCACTATAACAAGTGAGCAAGCGCATTTGGGGGAGGTATTGAAGTCGAAATTTCAAAATGACGTCATAATAAAAAAAAGTTGTCATAATGCAGAAATATGACATATATTGAAGCCGCCCACTTATGTGCACGCCCTTGCTTATCTCAAATAATGTATTCAATGAATATTTTTTCAGTCCTGTTAATGGGAATGATTAAAATCGGGCGTTGAAGGCCAGAAGTTCTCATGACGTGAATAAGCGCGGTATTAAAAATTTGAGCCTCACATTGATTAAATTGTTATTCTTCAAATAGAGTACCGTTAAATGGTGCTACAAATATGTATATAATCAATCCAGCCTGTTACAAATTAAAACTTACTTTCTACATTACTACCCAAGTCGCATTTAACGTGAGGTCTGCAGTATAGCAACATTAATTTCGCGCCATATGCTTAGCGAACTCAATTGTTGTAAAATAATACAATAAAGACAGCCACAGAAATCATTATGCGCTCACAATTTGTATTCTAGTGTCACCGAACAATCTGTTTCTTACAAGGCGAGACTTTTCGTCAAAATTTCGCGGGTTGGAACTCGCTCACTGTAAATTTATAGATTCTATATATCTTCAATATGTTCTAGAATGGTATGAAAACCGAGAAATCTTTTTCAATCTTAAGTGGGTTTCGTTTTCGAGAAAACCTTTTTGCGCGACACTTTGTCGTGAATCCGACATAATATGTGTTGAATCCAATCGTTTACATTACATGATGTGGACTTGCTAGAAAAAAAATTATCAATTTCATTACCTGAGATACCTTTAATGTACTGTATGTGTGATGTACGAGATTCAGAAAGATGGATTCAACTTTGCGATATTTTCAACCTACGGACGCCACTAGATCTTGGTAACGTGGAAATCGCCCTAAAATTTACTGTAATTTGTTAATAGCTGTCTTCTTTCGCATTTTGGTAGTATTACCAGAGTTGCATCACTAGTTCTGTGGAGTTCATAGTTATACACAAAAAGTCGAGCCATAGTTGCAAGTTTTTTCTTGTAGTCTAAATGTAAACTATCTTGTACTATAAACTACTTCGTTAAATTCGGGGAAGCATTTGATGAATATTTTCAGTGGTTTAACATGTTCTATCTATTGGGTTTCTGGAGAATCAATTGCTAGTCCTTTTTCTGTGCGATTATCGGACTCCCTGATGTCGGAAGGTAATTCACGTAACCGCTGGTCGGTTACGGCGTCCTTCACCATCAAATCCATGCATCCGAAACAAGTAGCTGGTTAGCTGTTCCCACACCTGGAATGGGCTGGTAACGGGACGAGAGGCCGTAGTTCATCATATGATCAAGCCAAGCCCTCTTGTCGGCTTTCCTGGCGGAATAAATATGAAATAAATATCCTTACGTTTCTTCTTACGACGATAATTTTGTCATACTTCCTCAGATAGTTGCATATTTCAACTAGTATACGAAACGTTATTTTTGTTGGTGTGCAACAATAGTCTTGAATCTTTCAAAATGTTTTAAACATGTTCATATGGCATATGATTGACTAGGTATATTCAAGTTTTTTCTGTCTAAAAATTCCAAAGGTTTACAAATTATATCGTTTTGCTAACACCGGTTGTGCTTTTCTTCCTTATGTTCAGTTATTTTATTGACCGTAAATCCTATTCGAAGCGACGTAATTTTTAGCAGCACGACCGGCGAACTGAAAGTTTACAATGGCGGTGGCGGAAACCAAACGTTTGAGTCTCCAACTGTTACCCCGACTGATATTGTTCTTCTCAAACAGTGCCGTACATGTTATCATTAAAATTTTCCTTGTAGAATTGTTGTTTTCCGTACGAGCGGTTTATATTGTGCCATACGTGGCCATGTTCTTTCTGTTGACAGCGTTTTACTAGACACGTGTGTGTTAACGTCCCGAAATAGCTGAATTTGTCATGCTTGATGAATAATATTTTCTTCGTACACCGATACACTTCAAACATATTCAAAACCAGTTCATTTTTATTTATTAATCAAGATAAATAACGTTAATTAATTCCTCCTTTTTAAGTGTCAAATATTCTGACTGTGATCTAGACCGGTGTAGCTGGGGGATGACTGGTACACGGTATCGAAACTCGATTATTTCGATTGGTTGTGGATGGTTGATAAAGAACAAAAATTGCCCCGGCCTTCGAGTTTATCGTTGCGACAGATATTTTACGTTTTCAACTCGTTTAACGATGTTTAGAAATATATAGATTGCGATTGTACATTTTTGGTTGGAGGAGTAAAAAAAACACTGATTGTGTGCAACGTGGCTCTTGGGTAGGGCTCTCCCGTTCCTGTATAATGACATAATACGTTTGTGCAGTCTGTGTTTATGCAGTTGTTGGAAACGAAATTGTATTTTCACATCCTCGGAAAAGCTCGAATCTAAATTTTGAATTCCTAAAAGGGGATGTAGAATCGATCGGAAATTAGAGCAAAAAAAAAACTAACCGTCCAATGAGTCGGTGGCTCGAGCGAGTTATTCTTAAGTCGGGGTTAAAATTTTTGTAAACTTGGAGGCGAAACGACTACTGTTCTGGAAACATTGGCAGTACCCTGATCAGTACGATACCCAGCTTTTCATTTTGGGGGCGTGTTTCGAAATTTGGGGGTGGTTGATATTGTGCTATTTGCGATAAAACTATTTGTAACTTTTGAAAATGTGTTATGTATTTGACAGATAATCTGCACTAATTTATACGCCGCATTCTGGATATTCGAATAGAATAATACCTGGTTAGGAATAAAAGTGTGGAATCACAACTCAAACTAATAAGGGGAAGGGTGGTGTTCAAATTTTAGGGGTGTGTTTACCCCCTATAGGGTGGGTGTATGAAAATCACTGATCCTTTATCGCCTCATCAGCCTGTTTTCTTTAGATTTTATTATCATAGTTTATGGTTGTGATAAGTTTGAAACCACAACGTATCAGAAAATCAGTGGTACGACAATAACATGATAGTAACCTTGAATAAGATGGACCGAATATAAGAAAACAAATCAGTGATGAGCCAATATCAGTAGATTACCAGTTTTTCGGGTGTTTGAAGGGAATTTTCTCAAGACTTCATCCCTTATATAAACTACCAGTAGAGCTTGTGTAACATGTAATAATGTGACCGCCAGTAACCGCGAGATATGGCACGTACCGCAACAATTACGTAGTGTTCATTCATGCGTTAAATCTAATGCCGCGGGCGAGATAAATTAATTCGTTTCATAAAAATTGCGATCGAAGTATAAGTATGCACGATGAATGTCTTCATCCTAGTGCTAAATAAGTGAACCGTTATATACCTAAATACAATACTCAGTTCGTTATTTTTTGACCATTTGTCTGGTGTGGCTCATATTACTTACACAAAGTCCCGAGGCCTGTTTTATTTTTGTGACAACTGGAATTCACAAAATACATTTTGAGGAAAATACAATTTCACATTTTTCAGACACTCTATCGTGAGACTCCTATCACTACATAATATTGTACAACACATTTTTTCTTTGAGAAATCACACAAAATAAAAATATCATAATCGTGGCATAATTGCTACAAAAAACTTACTATGGCTGATGAGACACCATTGTGGCTATACACGATGATTAGGCTTTTAGGTGTGTTTTAGATATGTATACA